AAACTATGTAATTTGGTTATCTGGTGTCTTATTGTCTCTTTCTTCCCCCCAATATAGACTGTGTACTCCATGAAGATAGATTACGTTTGTTCTCTTTACTGATATAGCCCCCATACCCAAAACAGTGCCTGGAATAGGGTAGACACCCAGTAAGTATTTGTTGAATGAATAAATGAATGAACGAATGACCATTAGTTGAGGTTTTCTCCTTTCTTTGAAACTTCACTTCTTTTGCTAACAAAAAAGGGAGACTGGAGAATGAACGGAGAGGGAGACACAGATGGTTAAGTCTCTGAAAATGAGATATTAACTATTCTGATCACAATTATATGTATGAATGTAAGTAGCACAGGCAATTCTGAAATATAAACAATCTAATACACATTTCTACTTTGATTACATTACATAATGTTATGGTTGACTCTTTCTAGTTATTTTTTAAGTAGCAGCATGAATACCAGCTGTGTGTGTTGCATGTGCATGTGCATGCATTTGTGCACAAGTATGCATACCTCAGATATAATGAAGGTGAATTGGGATGTTACTCAAGTCATCCAGAAACTGGACACTTTCATTCTAACAAATAAATTTTATGTGTGAGATGTGCAAGCTCTTAGTTACAAACTACCATATGGTTCCTATCTTCCAAGATCTTTAGGCAACTTAACAAATGGCTCATTGAAAGTTGACCAGACCCTGAGCTGTCCACATATGTGGGAGTTTGGGGCTTGTTTCCTAGACTTCCAACCTGCTCCTTTCCTGTTGTGTAGCAGCTAGGCTGTGGAGTGGGACTGGTTCTGCCCTAAACAGGTCACAGTGATTCATTAAGGGACAGGCACAAAAAACTATTGGAGTTCAGAATGAAGCTCAGACATTTTCTGTGATTGTAGGAAGAGATTTTCTCTCTCCCCCAGGGTGTAAAATAAAAAGTGAGCAGTCTTCTTGCCACCAAGAAAGAGGTTAGCTTGAATGTGAGGCAGACAGAAGGCAGAACTGGGGAGATCAGAAGAGTTGAGTCATAACCCTGCTGACTTTGTAAACCTCTGGATCAAACCGTCTGACACCTGCACCACTCCTAGACTTCATATATATCCAAGGCAATAAATCCAGTAAACTGGTATAAGCTGGGGTTTCTTTTACTTGTAACAAAAGGCATCCTGATACAGTCCTCTTTATCTCTTTCAGGCCCCCCGCCCCCCGTGCTTCTTGCTGGTAATGAGTGTGTCCAGGAACAACACATGGGCTGTGCAGTCAGCGTTATGCAGGTGCATATGCAGACGCACTTCATAATCCTAAGGCAATTGCTTTCTGCTCACATGTATCTGATGTCCCATTTCTCTGGAATTAATGAAAATAATAGAGTGCCTCACCATAAAAAGCATGTAGAATGTCTTCTCAGACGTGCACCATATTTCTCAAGTTGCATTCCTGAGTTTTGCTGGCGAACACACTTTTAAAATGCCCATGTAGCTCCCCAGACTTCTGAGGCTGAGCTGGCCCTCCTGATGGCTTCTCCTAGCATCAGCCTGAGACCTGAGGGTGGTACTGTCCAGAGGACAGTGAGCCTGGAAAGATGTGTGAAGAAATTCTCCAATAGGTAGGCCTTTCCTTATTTATTAGATTTCCAGATACATGGGACCAGGATGGAAGACTCCTCGGGTGCTTGATTTACACGGGGTCTGGGGGAGAACATACAGAGGCAGGAGTACACACAGGTGGGTAACGCTGCAAGAAGGGACTGCCATTTTTAAAAATATATACATCTCAAGAAGCCATTCCAGCCATATTATCATTATTATAAAATAAAACAATCTTTCCACAGTCCTTTTCTTTGGTGCTGTTCCATGGGATTCTGGGCCCTTGTCTTCTTGTCACCATCCCCTGCCACTTCTCCTATCTGCATAGGGGAGGGGAGATCCTGGGGGGGAGAAGGGGGTCCCCGATCAGGGCAGGTGCAGGTTCTGGCTCCTCTAAGGCTGTGGCCTCCCAACACTGTTCTGGTCTTGAGAACCTCTTGCTTGGTTCTTAAATTGTGGCCTGGGCTATCATCCAAGTCTCCTGTATGCAAAATTTGGGAGACAACGTCAAGTTCCCACATGGCAATGCCAGCCTGGAGCCTTCGGAAGGGAGGGGGACAGGGACAAACAAAGCACAGCTGATACCACCTTCTCCGTGGCTGGATCTGTGTTTTATTTCTTGGTTTGTTTCAAATGACCTGCACCATGAGTACAGCTGAGAGACTGCCCCTTCTTCAGACTTCCCAGAAACAGCAGATTCAGGGACAAACTTAGGCTCTGTTTTGTTTCTGACTGGGGGGTGGGGCAGGGTCTCCTAAACTCTCCTCACTTGACCATCTCCCACTAGGTTGGTCCACTCCCTTCCCCAGCAAGGCCCCCCCATCTGGCTAGGCTTCCCACTCAGAAGCTAGCCCTCAAGTTTTTCTGAATGGGTCCATCAAGCACACACAGGCTTTCCTGTTGGAGTTCCCACTGTTACTAATACATTCCCTGTTGCCATCAGTTTTAGGTATAGAAACAACTTCCACCTCACGGGCACCAAGCCATCAGGACAGCTGCCCCCTCTGCTAGAAAGAGCCCCAAAGTGGAGGCGCTTGCTCAAGCCTTATATACAGCAAGACAAAGCTGCCCTGCATGCAGAACACCCACCCACCCATACCAGGTGCTCACCCTAGAAAGGATAGGCTGCGGATGTGCACAAGCCCCCACCAGCACTGGAGGACGGCTGGTCTTCATGCGTGAGCAGGAAGTGACGGTGCAGAGAACAGGGTGCTGGTGAGGGGTTGCCACCCTTTGCCCCACCTTCTCAGCACATAGCAGCAGAGAGAGGCAGGGGAAGCTCCCACAGAGCACACCCCAAGTTCTCTCACCTTGGTTTCTCCAGGTCAGACCCTTAGGGCACAACCCCTAATGGTGGTGTAAGACCTGGTTTTTTAGCTCGGGTGCCTTGATGCCTTTGCCTTGAATGTATATGTCCACCGAGATCAAGGACAGGAGGGCTGCATGGAGGGCTAGTGGAGTTGTCCCGGCTCTCACTCTTGTGGTGACTCATCATGAAAATCAGGCCTTGGATTCCTCACAGGCAAAGGCAGGGGAGGGGCACACTTCACTGGTCTGTGAGGTCTCTTGGAATCCTTGAAATGCTCTACATGGGGACGTCAGAGAGCTGCTCTGCAGCTGTTTGGTTCAGCCAGCCCTCCTGTCAGGGTGACCTCAGCACATCCCAGCACGGAAGCTCAGGCCCAGTGGATTCTGGGGGTGGAGAGCCGGGGAGGTGGGCCCAGCAGCAGCCACTTCCCATGGAAACGCTGAGGAAGAGGCCCTGGCCTCCCGGTGTGCTCGTGACAGGCAGGTGAGATCTGCCTGCCTCTCCTGGTGAGGAGAGGTTGGGCTAGAAAAGCGTGGACCGGGGTCCCTCAGAAAAGGTGTCCCAGGCGAGGTGTTCTGATCCCTGCTTTAGGAGGCCGCTGATGGGAAAGGATATTTTCCATCATGGCTTGAAACCCCTTCGTCCTCTGGATTCCCTTGGTCAACCCATGAGCACAGATGGGGTGTTCAGGGCTGTCCCTTAAGTGGGTTCAATCTGACCTTCACAGCCACCTACAGAAACTGAGTGACCAACTGTTCCCATTTGCCTGGGGCTGAGGGGTCTCAGGACACAGAACTTTCAGTTTTAAGTCCTAGGCAAACTGAGATGGTTGATCACCCCACATAGCAGCCAGGACTGTGGGGACCCCACTAGAGAGCTGGGCCTTCTCAATGTGCCCAGGGGAGCTACACCAAACCTTGGTCCAAGGAATGCAGGAGGCCACCCCACCTGTGGCACTGACACACCAGCCCTTTGGAATGCAGAGGAGTGGCATCTCTGGTGTCAACTACCCCTGGACACCAGGAAGGGTCCAGTAGGCCAGTGACCCCCACTGAGCTCTTTCTCTTCAGGGCTCCCCTGCCCGCCTATCTCTGCTGCTGGGCTTTTCCATGCTTGGCAAACTTCGGTTTGGGCCTCTCCCTATCCTGCCCTGATCCTCCCAGGACAGCTAGCCTAGAACCAGGGCCGGGCCCCAAGGGTACACTCTGAGGGGCCAGGCTCCTGAAGTCCCCAGAGGCCCTTCTCATCTGGTCCTGTCCCTACAGGGGAAGGGGAAGGAGGGAAGCAGAGGGGGTGCTGGCGAGGATGCTCTGGACCCTGCTCTCCTCTGCACCAGCGTGCTCCTGTCTACAGGCCCTGGAGTCACTGTGGCTGGCTGACCCCCTTGCCTGAGAGCTCTGAGGTAGGGTCAGGAAGTAGGAGGGGCTCCTGGGGGACGAGAAGAGGAGGACCAGTGGGCACCGGCACAGTGGTGACAGGCAGGTGGGAGTGCCCCAAGGAACGGGTGCCCAGGAAGACCCATGAGCTTTAGCCACTACTCCCCTGTGAGTGCAGAGGTGAGAGAACGGAGGGAGGGAGCCACCTGGACCACGGAAAAGGCCCCAAAGAACCTCAGAGCAGGCAGAGCCTCTGGAAGAAAGATGCTGTTGTCCCCTGAGAACCTGCCCTTGTGAAAGGAAAACCTCCAGGTGGCACCAACCTGAGTTTGCCGGAGTCCTGGGAGCTGAGCACCACCACCCAGGCCATAGAAGGAGGTGGGTGGGGGAGTTAGGAGATGTACATGCTGCCTCTTGGTGGTTTGGTGGGGGAAAGGGGGCCCTTCCTCCAGTGGTCTCCAGTCCCAAGGGGAGTCAGCCCTGGCCCAGGCCTCAGCACTGCCCATGGAGAAGGAAAAACATACCCAAGAAAAAGCCAGTTACAGATGAGCCCATGCCCCTGCCCTCCCATCCCTGTTCCCCACCCACTGCCCCCGGGAGTCTGCACACAGCCAGAGGGTGAAAAACCCCTTCCTCTGGGACAGCTCAGAGCCGCAATACGGGGGTGAAAGGTTGAGGCTGGTGGCTGTGGAGGTCTCTGCATCGGGCCGTCCGTGTGTCTGTCCGTGTGCAGGGCCCTCAGACCTTCGCCTCCAGCATCTCCAGGAAGAGTTTGTGCATGGGCACCTTGCCCTGCAGTTTGACGCTGTAGAAGTGCTGCACGGCCTTGGCAGCCGTCTGCCGCAACAGGGGCAGCGTCAGTAGCAGCTTGCCCGTCCTCCGCGGCTCCTCGTGGCGCTGGCTCAGCTCGTAGTCCTGCAGCGCCTCGTGCAGCAGGTCCTGCAGCTTCTGGACGGCCTCCAGGTCCTCGATGTACATGGAATCTGCGGGCACAGTGCGTGTTAGCAGGCATAGCCAGGGAGGGCTGCCCCGTGGGATGGGGGTCATTGGGATGCAGGAGGCAGGTGGGCAGGGCTGTCTTTAAAGATCCTCACTTCACAGAGAGGCAAACCAAGGCTCAGAGAGGTTAAGCTGAGAGTCTGAGGTCACACAGGCAAATGACAGAGCCGGGGCTCAGACCTAGATCTATGGAGAACATTTCTTAAGAGACCACCAAGAGGTGGAAGTGGAGACCCCCGAGGGCTTGAACCTGGGCAGACCTGTCTGGTGCCCTGGAGGTGCCAGGTGGACCCTGGAGCTAGACTGGCAAGAGTTGGAATGCTTTGTCCCTTGCTTGCTAGCTTTGTGACTTGAGGCAAGCTACTTAACTTCTCTGTGCCACATTTTCCTCATTTGTGAAATGGGATAATAGCCATACCTACTTCAAAGGTTTTATTTTTTTGGTTGTGTTTTTCTTTTTTGGGGGGTGGCTGGCCAATACAGGGATTGAACCCTGGTCCTTGGTGTTATCAGCAATACCTCTAACAAATACCTCAAGGGGTTAATGGTACTTGTCACAAGTTAAGTACCTAGGTGGCAATATCACCACCACCACCACCACCACCACTACTATTACTATTAACTACTGTCATTACTGCTGCTGCTGCCAGGCACCACCTCCTCAAGTCTCCTGTGCAGTCACTAACCTGACAATATCCTGGTTACAGAACACAGAAGAGAGACACAGAGGGGCTGAGCGCTGCGTCAGGCTGTGCTGTGGTGGGGACATGGGCACGGGTGTGGAGGGAGCTGTCGGGAGTTCTCTAAAATCTTGGGGAGGGCTTTGAACTTAGGCCACAAATTGGGGATTCAAATAAAGTTTACTCAAATCCTAGCAGGCCAGGGAGGCACCCACGGACAGGTGGGTTACAGTTGGGTCTAAGCTGAAGCAAAGGGAATCTCCTGGAATCCATGTCCTGAGGGGAAATAACCACAATTCTTCTGACATTCCTCAGTGATCCTGGGTCTCCATCCTGAACTGAAGGGCCCAATACTTGCCAAGTGGGAAGGTGGGGTGCGTGTGATCAGAGTGAGCTGCAGGCTCTGGGTGGAGCAAGAAGGAAGGGTAGACAAAGCTCCTGAACTCCTCAAAAGAGCAAGACAATTCCTTCGCATGCCGTGTTGGTTTGGATACCCGACTGCCAAGGGCAGCTGTACCAACTGGCTAACCCCAGTGACTCCCCCACACTAGGCCCTGTGCCTTCCAGGATTTCACCCCTTTCTCTTGGGTGGGGAGCAGAAGAATGAGATATATAAGACTTAAACTTCTTGGCTGCTGTGTGACTTTGGCCAAGTTACTTAAGCCTCTCTGAGATCATTTCTTCATCTGTAAGACAGAGCAAATAGGAATGCATACTCATAGGGTAGTGATGAAGTTTAAATGAAATAGCACCAGGCACTTAATAAACACCTAATAAATGTTAGCTGTTATTATCATTATTGTGACAACTCAGACTGGTGGCAAGCACCCTTGCAAGGCTGGGACATTACTGGCCCTATACCCAGGTCTCCTTCATATTTTTCTGCTCCCTGTCACCAAGGCAGTGAGGACTCCTTCTTTGCCATTTGGGAAACAAAACATGGCTCCAATCCTATTTGCTCAGCCATTTACAGGGCAAGCACCCAAAACGCTCCCCTGGCCATCCAGACTCCCATACTGCCGCCAGCTCCCTGTCCCCATCCACTGCTCCTTCCCCTACCCTTCCCAAGGAAGGCAAAATTGGCAGCTGCTTTCAACCAAAAATGAAATAAAATAACATTGCAAGATTAATTTCTTTGCAATCCATCAGAGAGTCTGTATTGATGGCATTGATAAACTGTTAATTACAAAATCAATGGCTATGAATTTTTTCCTGCTGTCAAGGAGCCTTAGAGAAGGCCGGGATGTGGGGTGACAGAGAGGGGTAAGGGTGGAAGAGCCAGATGAGTGGCCTCTGCCTCTTTACTTGCCTCCCTCGATATAAGCTTGAGCTCTGTGCCTGGTAGGAATTACTCGGGAGAGTCCAGAATCGAGGACTTGACCTCCAAGGCCTGGCTGGCCTTCCTACACCCCGTTCTGCTCACTCTTATGTTTTCTTGGCTTCTGCTCTCCTGTACTGCCCATCAGAACTCCCAGCCACTGCTCCTCTCACTCCCCCATGCCCCGAGCAAAGGCCTGTTAAAGTGCTTCCCTCCAAACAGGGGAAGCACAGGCTGGTGAAGCTGGACTGTACGGTACATCATCATGGAAGCACATCACTATGCACTTGTCAAAACCCACAGAACACACAACACAAAGAGTGAACCCTAATGATGCCCCGAGCAAAGGCCTGTTAAAGTGCTTTCCTCCAAACAGGGGAAGCACGGGCTGGTGAAGCTGGACTGTACGGTACATCATCATGGAGGCACATCACTATGCACTTGTCAAAACCCACAGAACACACAACACAAAGAGTGAACCCTAATGGAAACTATGGACTGTAGTTAATAATAACATAGCGATATTGGCTCAGGAACTGTAACCAATTTCCATACTAACACTAATGTTAATAACTAAGAAAACTATGCTGGGGTTGGGGGGACAGAGGGGTGGGTATATGGAACTCTGCACTGTCTGCTCAGTTAGTCTATAAATCTAAACCTATACTAAAAAACAATAACAAATCCCCAAAACCCAAAAAACAGCATTAGCATTCTCCAACAAAGAGTACATTACAATTGTGGGATTTTAAGGTGTCAATGATCTCTATAGAATTGACATATAAAATTTAAATTACTGTTTTGCATTCATTTATTATTAATAAAAAGGATTTGAACTAAAAAAAAAAAAATGCTTCCCTTGTCTATATCAAGTCAGGTTCACAGCAGCAGAGCCTGAGGCAGGGGTTTAGATTTAGGGATTTATGGAGGGTGTGTGTTCATGAGAAAGGAAGCGAGAGGCAGAAAGCGCAGGGAAGGATGACCAGGCAAGGGTGAGGCCTGGCTTCAGCCTGATCCCACGCAGAGCTCTGATGCAGCTTTCTGTTCCGCTGGGTGGGGCCACCACTGGCTGACGGTGCCAAGAGAGGGGGGCACATAACCCTCCAGGCAAGGCAGTGGAGAGTGGGTCTGGGGTAGGGGGCAGCCCTGAGCTGCTAGCAGCAGAACTTAGCAGCTGCAGGAGGGATGCACAACCCGCTGAACGGGGTCTGAGTGAGCCATCAACAGCACCCCTGCACTCTCCAGGAAGCCATGTGTTAGGGCAACCAACTGTCCTCATTTACCACAGACTGGGTGGGCTGGGGTGGGGAGGGGTTCCCAGGATGTGGGACTTTCAGTAAAAGTGGGACAGAATGGAGCACACCAGCTGGTTTCCCCGTGTGTACTGTTTCCATCTGGGAACCATTTCTCCTTCTTCCATATGCTGATAACACTTTGTTTCCTCTAACATTAATAATAATGATAATAATTAATATTTATTGAACATTCCTCTAGGCCAGGCACTGGACTAAGTACTTTATCTTAGGTCAATCTTCAATACTCACAAAAGTACTTGAAGGAGGTTCTCAGAATATCCCCACTAAACACACACAGATACTGAGTTACCCAAGGTCACATGGTTAGTATCAGAGCTAGAATTTGAACTTGGGTCCATCCAACCCAGACCTCAGTGACTAAACTCTTCCAGACTGCCCTGCAGAAGAATTATGTGCATGCCTTCCTGACTTATGCTCTCTTTAGGGCAGGGACAATTCACTTCTCTTGTATCCCCCAGCACCCAACATAGTACCCTGCAGATAGCGTGGAGTCCCTCTGAAACTGCATTCAAGTTCACTCACCAGCATCACCCAATGCCCAGACCCTCTCCCCAAATAATCTAGTCAGAAGTTGGTAGTTGCTAAAGAAATAAAATGAGTCCTCTTTTTTAACACCACACTAAACCCCTCAGCTGGGAAGGTTTTATTCTCTTGTGCTCTGGCAATTTGATTTAAAGGGTTCAAGGAGGTAGTGTAGGCTCAGGTCAATTTTGGAATCAGACAAGTTTGGTTTAAGTAATAACTCTGACACTTTTTAACTATGTGACCCTGGACAATTTTTTTCACCTCTCCAAGCCTGTTTCCACATCTGTAAAATGAGGCATAGAGATGTTTGAAAGAACTAAATAAATTCAGTTAATTTAACTGCATCAGGCATGTTGTTAGCATAATGTAATTATGTACAAATAAACTCCTTTAGTAGTCTTATAGAGTAGAAATTGTTTATTGTGCCCATTTCACTGATGAAGAAACTGAGGCACAGAGTGAAGCAACTTGCCGAAGTGGTAGAAGCAGGATTTGACCCTTAGCAACCTGGCTCCTGCGTCCTTAACCAGTGTGCTGGTCTAGATGCCAAAAGCTTAGGAAATACTCAACCAATGCTATCCTTCACCATCTTTTTAACTCCAGCCCACCCATTGCACAATCTTTGATGACAAAAAGCTTAAGCATCTTGTCATCTCCACCCATTGCAGTTGGCCCTGCTCCCAGGTCCCGGAGGTGTGCTTGCCACGCTCACGCAGGACACCTGAAGCTCCTCCCCACTCCCAGGCCCCACATCTGTCCTCACCTGAGTTGGCCAGGGCCAGGGCCTTGAGCGTCACGAACTCCTCCTTCTCCACCTTGAGCTTCTTGTACCTGCGCACCAGCTGCAGGATGGCCCGGTAGAGCTCCAACAGCCCCACCAGGCGCGAGTGCTCTTCGTCCATGATGTAATCCTCGGCGTACACCAGCTTGTCATCATAGGGCAAAGAGCGGTACACGATACCCAGGATGAGGATCTCCATCCAGGCACTCTGCAGCAGGCTCATCTGGTCCCCCAGAGAGAGGTTCGAGAAGCCTGCAGAAACGGGGCAGGGAGGGCAGCATCTGGTCAGGAGGGCAGACCTGAGGCTCGCTGGAGAGCAGAGGTAGTGGGGGCAGGGTGGCCATGTCCCTAGCATCTCCAGATCCCGCCTGGGGGGCCCTCCTTATATAGCTGCAAGACCCACTGTCCTTCACTTAGTAATGAGTCAGACTTGGAATTCACGGAAAAGACTTACATAAGAGCTCAGTCAATGTTGACAGTTGTTATTATCGTTATTATGGTTAGTTCTATGGTAATTTTCAAATAGCTGTAGAGGCTTTTTTTTTTTTTTTCCTTTTAGTCTTTTTTACTGACCGGCAACGGGATCGCAACCCTCAGTGTTGCACCCGCACCGCGCTCAGCCAGTGAGCGGAAACCGTTCTCCACATGGGATCCGAACCCTCAGCGGGAGCGCCGCCACACTCCCAAGTGGCGCACTCTCCAGTGCGCCACCGGGCCAGCCCTGTAGAGGCTTTTTGATTAATTAAATGCATTTGTAATTTAAGAAGACTGAATTCATAGTAACATCAGAAAGCAGCAATATAGGGTCTCTTCCACTCTGGGGAGTTACCAGGCCCCTCTCTGCTCAAACCAGGGGAGGCTTTGGTGCTTTAAAATGACACCTCAGCTGTGCAGAGACCCACAGGCCCAACCAGGAATAAGGATTTAGCTGTTCCCAGCCATGCAGAAGGCCTGAGGCTGCAAAGAGATCAAGAGCCCTCTGGGTCAGAGGGCACTCTCTCACAGTACAGCCTGTCCCCTCAGGGGTCAGAGCCCCTTTGCCCAGACCACCATTCTCCATGTGACAATGACCCAGCAGTTCTGTTCTGTGAGCTTAGAATTGTGGGATTCTATCGAGGAGGCTGACTCCATAGTGAAAGAAAATTCAGGATAGGGAAGGCTCCAGAATTATGACACTGTCTTGTTCAGTGCACTCTGGAGATGTCTGGGCTTAAAACCTGACTCCCCATTTACTAGCTGTAGGCTGACCTTGTGAAAGTCATGCATCTTCTCCAAACCCTAGTTTCCTCATCTATGAAATGGGTATGCAGTTGAGGTTTGAACTCCACGGGTTGACTTGTATGCAGATTTTTCAATAAATATACAGTAGGCCCTTTGTATTCACAGGTTCTGCATAACTGTGGATTGAAAATACAAGTTGCAGGATGTGGAACCTGTGGATATGGAAGGCTGACTTTCATGTCCGTGGGTTCCACAGGGCCCACTGTGGGCCTTAAGCATATGCAGATTTTGGTATCCATGGGGCATCCTGAAACCAATTCCCCACAGATACCGAGGGGCGACTATAACAGTAGCGCCTGCTTCAGAGACTCAGTGCGGTCTAAATGAGACACTGACTAAAGAACATACCACATATTTACTGAGCTCTTATTAATGATGAGCTGGAAGTCTTCAGTTGCAAAAAGAGGATAATATACTGGAATTGCAGCCAACTAATTACGGATTTAGCTGTTCCCAGCCATGCAGAAGGCCTGAGGCTGCAAAGAGATCAAGAGCCCTCTGGGTCAGAGGGCACTCTCTTACAGTACAGCCTGTCCCCTCAGGGGTCAGATCCCCTTTGCCCAGACCACCATTCTCCATGTGACAATGACCCAGCAGTTCTGTTCTGTGAGCNCCCCTTTGCCCAGACCACCATTCTCCATGTGACAATGACCCAGCAGTTCTGTTCTGTGAGCTTAGAATTGTGGGATTCTATCGAGGAGGCTGACTCCATAGTGAAAGAAAATTCAGGATAGGGAAGGCTCCAGAATTATGACACTGTCTTGTTCAGTGCACTCTGGAGATGTCTGGGCTTAAAACCTGACTCCCCATTTACTAGCTGTAGGCTGACCTTGTGAAAGTCATGCATCTTCTCCAAACCCTAGTTTCCTCATCTATGAAATGGGTATGCAGTTGAGGTTTGAACTCCACGGGTTGACTTGTATGCAGATTTTTCAATAAATATACAGTAGGCCCTTTGTATTCACAGGTTCTGCATAACTGTGGATTGAAAATACAAGTTGCAGGATGTGGAACCTGTGGATATGGAAGGCTGACTTTCATGTCCGTGGGTTCCACAGGGCCCACTGTGGGCCTTAAGCATATGCAGATTTTGGTATCCATGGGGCATCCTGAAACCAATTCCCCGCAGATACCGAGGGGCGACTATAACAGTAGCGCCTGCTTCAGAGACTCAGTGCGGTCTAAATGAGACACTGACTAAAGAACATACCACATATTTACTGAGCTCTTATTAATGATGAGCTGGAAGTCTTCAGTTGCAAAAAGAGGATAATATACTGGAATTGCAGCCAACTAATTACCTTGACTTATAGGAGAGTGAGAGTGAAAGAGAGAGTGAGCTGATTTTTCAAACATCTTAACCACTAAACACAGGCAGTCACCTCACTGGGGGCTCAAGCAGAAACTCAGTGATTGGTCCCAACACTGACCATGCTGGACTTATTAAAAGAAGGAAGAGTGTCCACGACACTATTTGCTCTATGTGCCACTGAAATTCGGGGATTTTTCAGTAGTTTTGCCTATGAAGTACTTTTTACTCATGTGCTGACGTGGCACTGAACCTGCCTGGCTTTCTGATGGGGGGTGCCACGGGGATGGAGAGAGGATGCGTGAAGAACATGTGGCACCACTACAATCCTCAGCCAGGCGTGGACGAGGGCTGTGGCTGTTGTTACTGCCGTTGCTGTTGACACACTATTGGCATCCTTCTCGTCTCCTCTTTGGACTTGCCTGGAGGCCTGGGGTGGTCCCAAGCTTCTGGACTTGCCCATCTCCTAGGGCTTCCATGGCCTCTCCCACCTCTCATCTGTCCCATCTCGACCACGGTTCCTCCTTGTTTTCCAACCAGTGCATGACTGCTCATCCTCAGGGAGTACTCCTGGGGCTGAAAGTCCTGTCGCCTATCAGGCTACCCTTATCCCATGAATGTTCTCCCAGTCGGATGGTCAGTTCCCAGCCCGATCTGCACAACTTGGGCCTTAGATCACCACCTGGCAGATGGAATCTGTGGGTGACCAACAAAAAGAGTGGGAATGACTACACCAACTCACAGGGTGAGCCTTGACTGATGTGCCTTCTCAGGGGAGAGGCTGGGACACAGAGCGTCAGGTGTGTATGTGTGTGTGTTGTGGTCCAGATTCCAGGCAGGGGAGAGGGTGTGTGACTGCCTGCGGTGGCCAGGGAGCTGGGACGTAATAAAAGATAGATAGAAATGGACATCCAATTTCCCTTATCAGGTCTCTGAGTAGGAGAGAGGCCCTGGGCAACATTAATTAACAGATACCAATCAGCCAGCACAGGAGGGGTGTGTGGGGGGGGAGTGCTGGACTGCACTGTGCGTGCGTGCGTGCATGCTTGTGCGTGTGCGTGTGGTGGGGGTAATCTGAAAGCAGACAGACTGGGAGGGAAGATGGAGGAGGAGGGCAGGGGCGAAATTAATAGACAATTGAACTGGAATGTTACTAGCCTGTTTCTGCCCCTGTAGTCACTACAAATACTTACTGAGCACCTACTAGGCGCCAGGCCTGTGCTAGGCACCGGGTACAGAATGGTGCACTCAGGACATGACTGCTCCCTGCCTTCAAGAGCTTATAGCAAAGAGGGGAGAGACATGCCAAGTGTCCCAAGTCAGTACAAAGTTCCGACTGTAAGAAGGGCCATGGCAACACGCAGCAGGAGAATGTGGCCCAAACTAGAGTCCAAGGAGGCTCTGCCTCTCCGAGTTGGGGGCTGAGCTCTGAAGGGGGTGGCAAGGGCACCCGACAGGCACTCATGGAGGTGGGCTGAAGTGATGCCAAGCCCAGCCCCGACCTCCGACCTCCCAAGAAGCACAGACACTGCTGCTGTCTTCCTGCCCCCACTGCCGAGCACCAGGCCCAGCAGGTGCCTGACCAACGTTCACAGCACAGAGGAGAGAATGGATAAATGCCAGTCTGTGGGCCTGGACTCCCCAGTGAGGAGAAAATATGCCCGAATCACTGGGTTAGGCCCTCTCACATATTTGGATTCAAGTTCAGTGTTAGCTGCCTTTGCCTGCTGCGTAAGAATCAGGGACAGGCCTGCCTTGGCGGGGTGAGGGGGTGGGCAAGTGACTTAAGAAAGTTTTGTGCCACGGCGGGATGATGTACCTGGGAGACCTGTTCCCAAACCTCTCTACTGGCTGATCTGAGTACCAGTGGACTCTGCGCCTGGTCTCTCTTCCTCCTGAAGCATCTTCAAGAAGTCCTAGAAATAGCTTTGAAAATCCAAATGGACACTCCAAAGCATTGAACAGTGTACAGGATGCTTCACTGTGTGCAAGGAAGGGGGAGGAAATATTTGATATCTTCTAATACTCAAGGAGAAGAAACACTAGAAGAAAAACTGAGGAAAAGAAAAGGTTACCTCTAGTAGGCAGGAGGGAGAGGAGACAGGGATAGAAGTGAGATTTCTGTGCATAT